TCATCCCTAACATTACTTTCACATGACTTCAGAGGCTGACTCCTGGCCACAGGGTCACGAGCCGTGTTATACCGGCAGCTGTCTTAGAGGCTCAGATACCCCGAGGTCTTTCAGAGGGTAGTTCTACTTCCTTATCTCCGCATCCGATTTTTTTAATCTCATGTCTTAAGATCCCAGAAACAGAGGCAGAAATTCATGAATCCATTTACAATTAAGGTGGTATATGATCCTACTTCTTAAAACAGACTAAAGATGACATCCCTAAAAGAACTGTACCCAAACTTTCTTATTTTCCCTCAGAATGGTACATAATCCTCCTCCTCCTTTTATTTCCCTTTGAACACAGAGTGCACATTCGCGCTCGGCACCTCAGAATCCGTTCAGCAGTAAATACTACCCGCCACAGAGTTGTAACAGGCTAGATAAGGTGCTATCCTGACAGCAGTCACCTTCTCCGCCGGCCGGTTTCTATGATGCTTCTAAAACTGTCAGGGCAGAGACTTCGTCTTAGAAGCCAATCTCTGTTTCATCTTTGTGCATGTTCAGCGCAGCAATGGTGATGCCTTTCTTGGAGATGAGCTAACGTCCTATCTCAGATCTACATTTGAAATTTTCACTTTCAAATCATCTGGCCGTATATCTAAAAGTAGCATGTTGAATTGAACGTTGTCAGAGGCTTGAAGTTCTAAGGAAAAAGGGGAAAATGGAGTTCGGCATTGCTCTCCTGGGTCCATCCTTTCTGGATGACAATATTTAGAGAAACGGGAAGGTGCAGTATGTACCTGCCTTAACCGGTTAAAAGAAGATCAGATTGTGGGGGAGAGCATGCAGAAGGAGAAATCACCAGGGCTCCTCAGACCTAACTGAAGAAACTTCATTTTGCCGAGTTCCATTCTTGAGGCTTTCTCCCACTCTTAGTCAGCATCTTCCTTTGTTCTCTCAGACAACTCAGAAATCTGTACCCACACAAACACGGCCATATGAAAAGAACACAGACGTGGGTTTGAATCCCAGTTCTGCCACCCGCTGGCCTTGGGGAAGTGGCTCGGCCGTGTCCTCATCTCTGATGGGGGTAGTGAGCCCTGCCTCCCAGCATCTGTGAGAAGCAAAGAAATTTGAAAGCACCTAGACCTCTGTCTGGCACGTAAGAAGCCCTCGGTAAACACTGGCTGCTCGTCCTCGGTGGAGAGACCGTGGCAGCCGTGGTTTTATTCAGACTGCCTCACGTGATGCCTCGTACATAGCAATCAATGAAAAATAATACCGTCTGCTGATAGCTAGGACCTACTAAGCAAAGAACCACACTCCTTCAGTCCTTTCTAACCTTTCCTTCAGTGGTCTGGACGCTCCGCCGTTGCTCTCTCACCCTCGCCCAGTTTACTTTTCTGTGCCTTGATCCGTGCTGTTCCTCCTCCTCCTCAGAATAGCCTTCCCAGCCTGTCAGGCACCTTCAGAAGCTGCCTCAAGTGCACATCTCCTTTGAAGGCTTCGGTCCCCACAGACTAGACATAGCGTGTCCTTCTTCTGGGTTCCCACAGCCCTCAGCACAACTTGAGAGGTCCATGATAATAGCCGTTACTGCGTTTTTAAAAATTGATGATGTGTTCTTATTTGCCAGTATCGTTAGGCTATAATCTCCTTGATTATGTAGACCGTTTTATTTATCTTTGCCGCGCCCAGCACACCGTATGCCGCCTGGCCCATACGCCGGGGTTCGGGAAATCCTCATCAGGTGGATGGATGAAAAGTGTTCCACTTCCAGTTTCCATGTTTGCAAACCTCCAAAAGTTTCACCACCTCTCCTCTCCTCTCCTCCGTCTGATCTACTCCTCACACAGGCTGATACCTGGCTTCTCAGCCATGTGCTCTGCTTGCCTCTCAGGGCTCTAAGCCAGCGAGTCTGTCACATCCTCATTACATTTTCCCCGCGCAGTATGGCCTCCGGCCCGTTGTGTCCCGCCTCTCTGGCCAGCACTCAGGCCTCCCACCAGCTGGCCCTCCAAGGTCCCGGCCCTCACCACTTCCTGGTGTTTCCCCCATCTCCCTATCTGTGAGAATCTTAGCACACATGGCTCATTAAATAGCACTGAGCTTTTACCTGCATTTCTTTCAACCCTGTTTGATACATCCTTTCTAAGAGCCCACGATGCCCAAAATGCCATGCAAGGTGCTTTCTAGGATCCACAGAAGAGTAAAACGCACCTCTTGCTTTCAAGGAACCTATACGGGAAAGAGGCACCCATCTGACATACTGTTCAAGGCAGGTCACGGGAGGTGCCATAAAAGAGATATAAATCCAAGTTGTGGGGGTTTTTATGGACTGAAAAAATCCGAGTATCTAGTTGGAAAACTTTTCAAGTTGGAAAACTTTGAGAAGTTTTCAAAGATCTCAAGAAAAGTTTTAAAAGGAATATCACATTTTAGACTTTATATTATGATAGAGACTGGGGTGGGCAAAGTACCAACGTTACAAAGGTGAGGAGGCCAGAAAGTGGAGGGCAGGCCGGGTCGTCCCGGGGCGGGGTGGGGGGTAGAGAGCGTGAACAGCTTGAGGCCTCAGACACCCGAAGGCTATCATCCTCCGGCTGTCATCCTTCGGGACTTCATTCTGCTGTCTCTCTCATGAACCTTAAAACCTTACCCAGAAGTCACTTCTTCCCAGAAGCCCTCCCATCTTAACCCTGATCGGCACCCACCACTTATAATTCTTTTTAACTTGAGGGTGCAACGTGTGCCTTTTCTTTCTGGTCATTTCCTGTGCCTCTGTGACCTCCCCAGACAGCTGACCAGGGCCTCCCCTTTACCTCCATTTTTATTCTTCTGCCTAATGCTTAGAATGGCGTCCTTGCCACTGGGCGCTTAGCTGCGCTGGGATCTGATCACTTGGCGTTATGTTAATCATCTCTACCTCAGAGGTGAATCAGACAGGATTCCTGTCCCCAGGGGGTCCATATTCCAGTAACTGGTAATTATGTAATTACGAGCAACTAACTTAACCTCTGTGTGCCTTGGATTCTAATTTGTACAGTGGGATTAATAATCCCTTCCCTGCTCTCTTTAAATTTGGTAGTAAGGGCCACATATATAATAACACTTTAAACTCTACAGCATTACAGAAATGTAAAGTATTAGCAGCAAATGCTTTTTGCATGAGTGGAAGTCAGGAGTAATTTTGCTTCCTGTGCCCCCAGCTGCTGAACACTTAGGCGTTCTGGAGCAGGGAGTTATGATTATGAGTAAATGAGAAGCTAAAGAGACCCTTCTATTTTTAAACTCCTCGGACATCAGTCCAGTGCTCCGTGACTACCTCGTGAACATTAACACCATTACCAGATTACCAAGGAATTTGCTACTAAATGAAGCTAGGAATTAGTGGTGGTGATTTGCCAGACAGCGTAGCCCGCCTCTGCCTCAGACAGAGGCCTTTGGGAGCGAGATGAAAAGTAGCCTCGCGTTGCTAAAGGCCGGCCCCTCGGGCAAATAAAGGAGTGCATTATCTGCGTCTAAACAGTCTCTGAAGGGTTCTTGTTGGAGATTGATAACCAAGTGGTAAGTCCTTCAAGTTTGGGAGAGTGGAAAGCAGGGTCCCAAGGGCTTCTATCAGTGACAGGAGCCCGAGTTGTCAGGGGGAACTATGGCCATAAAACTACTGTCGGAATTAGGAAATGGATTGTTGCCATCAGAAGCATGTATCAAGCACCTGTCTTCTCAGGCCAGCCTGCCAGTCGCGCAGAACGCGTCCCTCACCCACTTCTCACTCCTGAGAGCTGACAGCCCAAAACAGATGTCTTTTCCCTCTCGTTCGCCGCGCGTATGTTTACTGAGCGGGGACATGGAGACAGAATTCAGTCCCTGCTTTACCAGAGTTCATAGAGTTCACGAAGGGAGGGAGCTGCAGATGGAAGTTCTCAACAGAGGGAGGTGACGGCGGAAATCAGTGCGAGCATGACGTGCGGGAAGAGGTCGTTTCGGGGAGAGGCGTGTCGGGGTGCTCTCAGGGCCTTCGGAGAGGAGCAGTGGCAAGGCCACCGGTAGTCCGGAAAGGCTTTGTGGTAGAGGGAGCAGGAAAGCAGTGCTGGCCTCAGAGATACCCTGGAATCCCAAGGAAGGAAGACAGCGAAGGCCCCGAGGTGGGGAGAGGAGCTCTGTTGATGGAGGCATTAATAATCCACCAGCTGGGGAGCTTCGGGGCAGTGGTGATGCAAATGTCCCACAGCAATCGTGACGGTCGCACGGCTCTGAATATACTAAAAGCCATCAGATTGTACACTTTTAATGGGCAGATTGTATGGATTATGATTGTATCTCAGTAAAGCTGTTCAAAAAAGAAGAAAACCCCACTGGAGAGGAATAGATTTGGGGCCAGCGAATCTGGTAGGTCTGCGGTTGCAGTGGTTGAGGAAAGAGACCCCTGCTGCTTGTCGGGGCTCGGCCTGGGGGAGTGTCGGCTCGTGAGCGGAGCCGAAGCCGGGCAGCACTTTGCTACAGCGTGAGTCCAGAGGGACGTGCGTGTGAGGTGGGTGCCTGTGGCGTCGGTCTCACCAACGTAGCGGGACGGAGCCGTGGAGAAGGGGCCGCCCCTCCCCAGCTTCACCCGACTGGGAAGGGAAAGAGAGTTCTGTACGCCTTCTAGAAGGGATCTGTGGAGGCCGGAACCACAAAGTATAGAAGGAGTGGAAGCAGATAAATAGCTGAGATTTGTGTCCCTATCAGCTTTTTTTTTTAGGTTGAATATGTGGATGAGATCATTTTGGCCTTGACTCATTGCACAGAAGAAAATGGGCTTTAATCTGCCTCCCTGGGCCTCCAGTCCATTAAAAATGAAAATATACGAAGGGTACTTTAGGATATGATGGGAGGGGGAGGAGACATCCGAGGCAGAATGGTCTGTTGTTGGTGTTGTTACCACTGTTCTTTCGTGTGTCATGGGCAGACGAGAAGCCTGCTGTCTCCCCTGCTCACTGTCCAGCTGTTATTCCCAAACACCCCTCCGTTTCCAGGACATGGTCCGGCGTGGAGAGATCATAGACAACGACACGGAGGATGAGTTCTACCTCCGGCGCTTGGACGCGGGGCTCTTTGTCCTTCAGCACATCTGCTACATCATGGCGGAGATCTGCAATGCCAGCGTGCCCCAGGTAGGAGGGCTGCCTGCCCAGGCCGGCCGAGCCTGCCTCCCTCCTGGGCCCCTCCCCAGGCAGACACTCTGAGAAAGGAGCCCATTCACTCTCCTTGACTCCCTGTATCTGGGGGGGAGGTGGGGGGGGGGGCTCTTCTTTAGGGGTGGCAGTGAGGTGCGTGCTTTCTCCACGATGTGTGCCAGGGTCTGCCGGGACAAACGGTGCTTCTCCTTCCTCTCCCCTCTCCCCCTTCCTCCTAGATTCGCCAGAGGGTCCACCAGATCCTGAACATGCGAGGGAGCTCCATCAAGATCGTCAGGCACATCATCAAGGGTGAGTTGGGTGCTGCTGTGTGAGGGGCTCCATCAGAACTAGGCAAAGCTTACTTCTCGAGTGTCTGTCGGGGTCCCTGGACTTCGGTGCACGGCTTCTCTGCACTTCAGGTGTGTCACCGTGTTCACTGTGTGTCCCGGTCGTCTTTGTCAGGATCCCGAAGACTAGCCTGGGGATCCTGTGCCTCTGGCCCTTCCGTTCAGAATTTCAAAGACACTTAACAAACAAGAGACAACACAGGGAAGTAACGGGAAATGCCTGGAATTAGGCAAGATGGAAGGATGTGAGTCTTAGGCACTGTGGTGGGGCAGAAAGAGCCTTAGCTCTGCCTTCCCCCAGCTGTGCGAATGACGTAGAATAGATTCTGCGAAGGTTCAGGAGCTACCACCTGACAGCGTCCGGTCTAGTGGCTGGCACTCAGATAGTGCTCTGTCAGGCGAGCGTCCCTCCTTCCCTCACCTGTCCCAGGGAGTCACTCAAATGCCGTTCCACCTTTGGGACCTTACTCAGATGGAGTGGCCCCTAGGCCTCCACTGGTGAGCAGGCTCTCAATCACAGGGTACCTGAACTCGACTCTGGTGCAGCTGCGCCCGTGGGCCACTTAGCACAGACTTACACACACAGCAGTAGAGGCCCATATTGACCTTCGCGGTACTGATAACGACAGAGTTCAGAGAAAGCCCGGAGAGACTGGTAGCTGCGGGCAGGTTTTTACTCCCCGCTCTGGCCCACGGTCTGCCCATTTCCAAGGTAAGGGATTAGGCCAGATTTACTCAAAGGGTTCGCCTGTAAGTAAGTGGCTTATAAGTCCCATTATAGGTGGGAGATGAAATGTGAAGATAAATGGTACATGTAATAAAGGGAAGAGAAGTTAGAAGCCATGGTCTCCAGGATCCGGCTCCCGGAACTGAATCCTGGCTCTGTTCCTTACTGGGTTACCTCAGGCGAGATACCCAATTGCTCTGTGACCTCATAGGATGGGTGAGAAGATTAAAAAAGATGATAGATTGAAAATGTCTGACCCTTAATAAGTCCTCTGTAAATGTTAGCTATCATAACTATTATGAAATACGATGATGATAATTGTCACTGTCATTATAAGTGAGGCACAGCCAAAATCCTACGGAAATCGTGTGAAAGTGGCGTCGAGCTGGGTCTTGGAGGCTAAGACAAGCACAACTCAGATGCGGGAGCTGGAAACCCCATGTTTAGCACGGCCGCCCCGCGGGAGGGGTACATCCCTCCTGTCCGCTTCACAGATGGAGAGTTTGGGGTATTGGAATCTATTAGTTTCTCTCCCAGAGACAGAGGGAACGGGAAGCCGCTCGTGAACGGCGCCCAGCACCTTGCCCTCCACAGTGGCACACGGTGCTCCTTCTCCGTGTCTCGTTCGCATGAGTTACTGCTCGGCATGTCACGCCGCCTCCTCCCTAAGGTGTAGCTGTGGTGATTTGCAGCTCCAGCTTTTAAATGGCATTTACTTTGAACGCCCACTTGTTCAATTAGAACTTTTTATTACTCTCAGCTCTCCTCTCCTGCATGCAGGCTTCTCCCCGCACCTCCAGCCCTGTAATCAAAACAGTGATCTTCTGAGGAGGAAAAGCTGTTTTTAATGGGTACTGACACGTAGTAGGTGGATGTTTTTCTTTGAGAAACCCTAAGACGTGTACCTTAGGTTATCCAGAGTGTCCAGCTGTCGTGAGCCGGCCTCCTTCTCCCTCGGCCTCGGGTGCAGCCCCCCAGGGCCTCAAGCGGCGGTGGCCACAGACGCCCCGTTCGCTTCCGCCACCCTCGGTCGTCTCCTTGGTTGCTTTCTTCCGCCAGAGCCCCGGCCAGGCCTCGGCCCCCCCTTCCAGGGCCCAGCCCAGCCGGTGGGCAGTAAATCCGGCAGCGCCGCCTCCACACGCCATCCTGAGCCCGCACCGTCTTCCCCATCTGTTCCTTCCCGTCAGAGCGCCCAGTTTATTTCCTTCCTAGCCCTTATCACAGTCTGTAATTGTTTTTATTTATGTATTTGTTTACTCGCTTTGTGTTGTCTCCTACGTTACAATGTAAGCTCTGTGACGAAGGGACGTTGGCTGGCTTATTCACCGTGCCTCCTCAGCACCCGGAGCAGTGCCGGGCGCAAAAGGGGCACCCGGTGAGTATCTCACACACCGTCAGATTCAGCCCTACCCCCGTGCACGTTGCATGTGGCCACCGCTGGCCAACACCCTCCTCAGGGCTAAGCACAGTGTCAGGTACCACGCCGAGGTGTCACACGCCTGCCCTCACGGAAGTTACAGTATCTGGGGGACCGTGGATGCATGAGTGCCCAGCCACGATCCCAGCTACATGAAACACGCCCCGACGGCTACTCCGCTGGCCTTGCTGGGTGCCGGGCTCTGCATTCAGGACTGGAGGTGCGAAGAAGAGGAAGCAAGAGCCGCATCTTCGAGGCGTTCACAGTCTGGTGGGGAGAGCGGCTCGAAACTAATTACAGTGTGATAAGTGCTAGTTGAAGTTGCCAGCAGTGCACTGACGAGTGGTAAGGAGCAGTCTAGAGTCACAGGCCTCAGCAGGGCGTCCCGGAGGAGGGACAGGCTCCTCCCCAGGACTGGGACTGTGTCCTAGAGGGAAAGGCACATCCCAGGCAGGGAAAGCAGAGGCCCGGGGCTAAGACAGGACATGGTGGCTTGTGTAAGGAAACTAGAGGGGATTCGTAGGGCACCCCTGCCCAGGGCAAAGAGGCTCTCACGGGACACTGACCACTTGAAAAAATCAAATCCCGATTCTCCCCAGATGGAAGGTTAAGGATATAATAAAGGATTCTCGACCCACTCCCACCCGCAGGCCCGCCCTGGCTCGTTCCCTCCTTTAGGAAGCCCTCCTGCCTGCGGTTTGGGTGGTGGAGCTGAGTCACCCCAGGAGTGGCAGCGAGGCTCTGCTCAGGCCCTCCCTTAAAGGCCTCCACTCTCTCCCCCTTCTCCCTCCACCCTTCATTCCATCAAAAGGTTTGAAAAAACAAAGCCTCATAAAGAAAACCAGCTCATCAGTCTGTCCTCTTTGATTTTAATTTTGTTTTTCAGTTTGAGTTGCTTCCTTTTTTTTTTTTTTAACATACTAATTAGATGCAAGCTTTTTCTTTGATTTTATGGCCCACATATTTCCTAAGTTTTCCTGGCAGGATGACAGCTGATGTATCCCTTGAGGTCTCAGGAAAACGCTGATGAGGCAAGCCCAGCAGGGGCCTTTTCCCCTTGTATCTCAGTCCCCTTTCTCACGGATTTTCCTCCCTCCTTTCCTATTGGGGGTGCCAAGAGAGCTGCGAATAATTGATGGCTCATTAAAGTCCCTCTTTCTGCAGACTGCTTACCCGGCGCTCCCGAGGTCCAGCCTTGCCTGGAGCTGACAGCGGCTCGGGGCCTGAGCACCGTGGTGCCCACGTGGGAGACGACAGTCTCCTTGCGGAGGCAGGGCAGGCCACACCACAGGCTCCGCACGGGCAGTACCCATCTCCTGCCTCTTGTTTTGCGCCTGGCCCGTGACTGGTGCGGGGCAAGGGCTCAGTTAATGCCTCTTGGGGATGTGCGCTGAGGTCGTTCTTCCAGCTTCTTTGTGCTGTTCTAGAAATCCAGGACCACCGTAGGCAGAGTGCTCGGCCCGAAGCGCATCCTCTGTGCTCCTGTGTGCCGGGCTTTCCACGTATCTTCTCTGGTTCTCACAACAGCCCTGGGAAGCAGGATTACAGTCCCCGTTTTACAGACGGGAAAAACAAGACTTACGGAGGGCGAGAGACATTACCCGAGTTGGTAGTGATGTTGGAAACTGGATCGAAACTCAAAACTATATACCCAGTCGGTCTTCCCTCTGACAGAAAGGAAACCTCTAACGTTGTTGATTGCCCGGTACAGTCTTACCATCTTTTAAGAAAGAAACTTTAGGGCGGCTGCCCTTATAGAGCACCTGCTAGGCCACACAGGGCCCTGGGGGGGGGGGGCTCCTAAAATCTAAAATGAACGAGACACTGGGCCCTTCCCATCATAGGTGAAGAAGCTAATCAGTACACATAGCAGAATGATGTCCGTGCTCGTTAATTCTGCTGCAGATTAAAAGGAGCTTAAAGATCCAGGGAGGCTGCACAGAGGAGGTACTTTTTGTGTGTGTGGTGGTGGTGGTGCTGCTGCTGCTGCTGCTGGTAAAATACACATCAGATTTACCATTAGCCATCACCACCGTCTGCCCACAAAATTCATTTTCATCTTGCAGAACTGAAACCCTGTGCCCATTAAACCCTCACTCCCCCTGCTCTCCTTCCCCCAGTCCCTGGCAGCCACCCGGGTACTTTCTGTCTCCATGAAGCTGATCCGCCAAGAAGGTGGCTTCCGGAAGCATGCGCAGGACCTCTGTAGGCAGATGTGGGCGTCCCTCATTGCGTGGTCATCTCCTTGGATGCAGCCTAGGAACCGAAACCTGGGAATACTCTCTAGTATAAATCCTTGTGCCAAGGGTAGCTGTGAAGCGGCGGGCCGGTCTCTTCAGTGCCTGAGTCACTGGTGACAGTTCCCGGAAGACCACGCGGCTGCTGGCTCTTGTGCCGAGGAGACAGAGGGTTCCTGACTCAGAACTCTAATGTTGGTGGCAGAAGGACTGAGCCAAAGACTCCAAAATGCTTTCAGAAATTGGCTGCTGGTCCTTTGCTTTGCTTTTATTCTTTATGGCTTGAAATCTCCTCTAGAAACTCATAACATGTATCTCTATATTGATTTGGGGCTCTCGGTAACCCGAGCATTGCCTCTGCGATTTCGAAGCTGCAGAAGCTGACATGATTTCTCTTTTGATGACATGTTGATGTGTGTGTGACTCGTACCAGGTCATGGCTACCATGACCACTAGGTGTTTGGAGGCAGGACAGAATCCTGGCGAGAGGCCTGCCTTTGACCTTCGGTAGCTACTTATCTTCTCTAAGCCGTAGTCCTTCGTCTGTGAGATGGAGATAACCCGCCTCAAAAGGTTCTGTGAGAATCGGGAGGTTCCATACGCGCACGCTGATGCGCGACTGGCGTGTGATACGTGCCTGATAAACGTCAGCTACCTTTACTGCTGTGATCAGTGTGTGAGCTTGTCCAGTAATAAGTAGATCTGATCTGAGCCTCCCAGACCACCAGCACAACTGTGTGTGTCTGTGTCAGTCTGGGTAAGTTAGCAGTTAATACGTTTGGGGCTTAGCTTCCTCTCTGTAAAATACAAACCTGATGTGAGCGTTGTCCCTCAGGAAGGCTGAAGTTGAACTACAGTCAGGCACCTGGGACAGAGTATGTACTCAGCAAACAGAGGCTCCTCCCTTCCGACGTCCTTGGCCTTAATCCTTTGACCCGGAGCTCACAGCAGCCCAGACTCAGGGGCAGGCAGGAAAGGTGATAGATCAGTACCCACAGCCAGCTCCTCAGGGCTGGAGGGGGGCCTGTTCCAACCCTATGACCCCTGTTAGCGTGAGAAGCAAAAGGTATGTTTCCTTCTCCTTTAAATGGGTCTCATTTTAATGAAATCCCTGATGTCCCTGTTCTTCCCCTAGGGAAGTATACCATTAGACCTTCCAAGTTCATCCTTGTCATTAAGGAATCTGTTAGACCTGGATTTTCCTTTCCCAGGTCCTAGTCTGTGGTTATGTCTGCGTCATCCAGAGTTTTCAGTGTGAAAATACAGGTGTCCTTCTCCCCCTCTCCCTCTTCCTCCTGCACTTTTTAAAAGATGAGCGGTTAAAGCTTAGGCTTCAGGGGCCTGACCCAGGCTTGTGAGTGCGGCCCAGGTCCCTGTCCTGAAGACAGTTCTCCCCATCCGCCAGCCCAGGCCCCTCCCTCTCCCTCTTAACATAAACAGAACAGCTTGTATTCCATGTCTGAATAGTAAACCTGCTGTCTAAAGTTTGCTTTAATATTTATGCGTTCAGCACTGCTGCCTGTTTTTGAGCTCCATCAAAGCCTTTATTATAAGAGCATTTGAAAGTGCTGGGGAAGTAGTGAAGGAAGTTGATGTGTGCACCCTCTTTCTCACTCTCCCCAGCCCGACTCGCCTTCTTCTTGCCCATTCTTCCCCCACTCCTGGTTCCCCCTCCATCTAGCATCTCTCTTTTTCCCAAACTCTCTCTTACCCTCTTAGACAGACACACACACACACACACACACCAAAGAGAACACACACACACACACCAAAGAGAACTCTTTCCAGAGACCTCTGGGAGGAATCTGTTCAATATTTATAAACTGCTGCGGCAGCTATAATAACCAGAGGTAGCTGCCACCACCCAGATTTGCTCCAAATAGGATTCTCCTCTGGAAACAGGCTGAGCAGGGGTAAGGGGTGGAGGGCGAGGGCACAGGGCACCGCTCGTGCCGGCTGCCGATGGTGGCGGAGGAACACGAGGGCCTCGGCAGAACTGGCTCAGGGCCTCGCTCTGTGTGGCTGGCTTGCTGTGGGACCTTGGCCAGTCACCTGCCCTTCAGAGTTGTCCTACGTTTCTGAGAGCTCTGCGCTTTGACATTCTGACCTGCTCCGCATCTGGGGCCACTGAGGCCCTTTTCCCACAGGACACGGCGTCTAGAGTCTCACCCTTAGGAGGACTTTGTAGCCCGGAGCCCGGGAGGGGGCTATACCGCTTTGGAGCACGCACAGAGCAGTCTTCCCCCAAAGGATGGGGACTGGGCAGGGTGGGACTTTGCCTAGGTAAGGGGGTGCCGCTTCGGGGACTGGCTCCCCCCATCCACTGGCTCTCTCGGGCGCCTTCTCACACACATTTTGGGTTGAATTTCAGCCTCTCCACTGGCCCCAACTTGAGCCCGTTGTTCCAGTTCTCTAACAAGCCTGTTTCCTCGTCTGCAAACAGACCTGGCGTTCTCTCCCTTGTGGGATTGCCCAGCACACCCAGGGTGGGAGACACGTTGCACCTGCGCCGTTCCCAGAGAACAGCTAGGCCGATGGTTTCCTCCTCCTCCACAGAGTGACAGGCGACAGGAGTCTGGCCGGCGGGTGCGTGCTTGTGTTTTCCAAGGCCTGGCAGAGGTGGTTCAGCAAGGGGCTTGACACAGACTTTGGTTTCCTCTGCCTTGTGGGTCTCTGGAAAGAGATTAGGTCCCTACAGGAAGCTGGCTTGACTCGGAAAATCACTGCCCCAAAGGAGCAGACTGTTTCTCTGCTTCCCTCCCTCCTGGGTCTGAGAATACATTAGGAGAGCAAAGTGTTAGTTCAATCCATTAAGACTCTTGCTTCCAGACCATGCCTCTGGGGGTATTAAATGCTGTAATGGTCATTTCTCTCTCTCCTGGGGCAGCGACTAGATCATTCACACGTGAGTAAGAGATAGCATTTGTGTAAAGCCTCATAGCCGTCTCCGCAGCCCAGACCCTGCTCTCCCACCGCCGCAGCCCTCTCTTTAAGAGGCCTTAATAGAAGGCATCACAACCATTTGCTGGTGGAGGTGATGGATGCATCTAACGGAAGAGGATGATTTCCAGGGGGAGACACACAGCTGGCACATGTCTGAATCCCAAATCCCGTTTTCCGGCACATGTCCAAAGTAATAAAGGGGAAGGAGGAAAAATGAAGAAGTGGCAGGAGCAGAATTATTCCCCAGCACGGTGAGGGTGGGGGTTGCACACTCTCTTCTCTCTCCCCAGTCTTTGTCTGATTTGGATCAGCAGATGTTTTATTATGTAAAAGCCTCCTGCCCAGAGTTGTCTGTTCCTCCTGAAACTGCCCGGTCTGGGGAGCAGAGAGCAGGGCAGGGACGCAGGCGGTCCCCATGGTCCACCTGCTCTGAGAGCCGGTCCCCCACACCACCCCGACGGCCGACTCTGCCGGCTGTTTAGCTAAAAGTAAGATACGTGCCCCTGCCTTCCTGAAACTCCCCGTGTAGAGGGAGAGGAGCGCAAGTGCAGGACAGTCTAGAAGGCAGGCCTGTGATGGGGACCCGGGCCTGAGGACAGGAGCCGGAGGAAGAGATGACCAGGCAGGCTCCGCACAGGAGATGGCTCTTAAGATGGGCCTGCAGGGGTGCGTGGGGTCTCCCCGTGTGACCTTGCTGGCCAGAGCAAGGGAGGCTCTGGGAGGAAACTAGTATGCCTTGAATATCTGTCATGTGCCAAGTACCTTCCATACATTTTCAGCGGACACCCCCCAAGGTCACTTAGAACGGTGAGCCGGAGACGGGTTCGAGCCCAGCCCGTGACGTCACACCCGTCTCCCCTCCGTGGGACTGTGGGCAGGAAGGTCCCTGTCCTCCCTTCCTCCACGTCCTGTGTCCCTGCTCCTGGGGGTCACTGCAGGAAGCCCATAAGTTCTACAGCCCTTCTGCCTCATACCCCCTCCTCCTAAAACCAGGGTGACTGTAATTTGAGGTGATACTTTTGAACATGACATAGAGAGCTGGGGTTATAAGCATTGTGCTGGGGTCACAGGGTAAGTGGATCGCGTGGTGGCATGCCCTGACACTCTGATTGTGTTCTCTGGACATCGGTCCTCACTGTCATCCTGGTACCCTCCTCCTCCTCCCCTAGGGGCGGGCCCTCCCCAGCGCTGGCCCTTTTCCCCCCACACCCATCCTACCCCCGAGGCAGGGTAGGTCCACTTACCTGAACACTCCCCCCCCCTCCTTGCAGCACCCGCCCTCCTCGGCCTTGGGGGAGCGCCGGCTCACTGTCACCTCCTCTACCCTGTCATACTCCTTGCTGACGGGAGTGTCTGCATCTGTCCCTAGCACCCCACTTCCAGCCTGTCTAAATCCTGCTGGACCAGCTTCAGAATGCACGTAAACTCTGAAGACCTCTCACCCCCTGTGACGTTCTTGGCCCCAGCCACCATCAGATCACCTCTCCCTTTCGGCCCTTGTGCCCTTCAGGGCCTCTCCCGCACGGCAGCTGGAGCGAGCTGTCCCTCCTGCGCTTAGAGCCCCCCCATGGCTCTGGTCACGGGGAAGTGTGCCCACCCCTTCCTGTCCTGGCGCCAAGCTCCAGCCACGCGGACCTCCGCGCCCCCGCCCCCTCCACACCGGGCCCGGCCAGCTCCCCGCTCAGAGCCTCTTCGCTGGTCCCTCCGCTCGCTCCCTCCCGGACACGACACGAATTTGCTTCAGGCTCCCATCGAATCCGTGAGGCCTTCACCCTGTCTCTGTACTTACTTGTGGGCTGTTTCCCCCACTAGAGAGCAGAGATTTTCGTGTATTTGGATCACTACTTTATCCCCATTGCGTCAGATAGCGGTTCTCAGACTCAGTGTGCATTATCATTGCCTGGAAGGCTTGTTCAAACGACTGCGGAGGCTAATAAGCAGGTCTTGGTGAGGGCCCCAGATCCGCATTTCTAACAGGTTCCTGCGTGGTGCCGCTGCTGCCCAGGGCCCTGCCCACAGCAGGCCTCCGCTGCCCACACTGTGACCACAGTGAGTGAGGAAGGGGCGTGGCAGGAGGACTCTGAGTCAGCAGAAGTGGGCTGGGCCCTGTTCGCCGGTCACCTCGAATGCAGGACCCAGGAGTTTGGCCACGGCGCCCTCCGGGGGGCTTATCAGAGGCATTCGAAGAGCATGGGCCTCGGCAGGAGCTGGGATTTAGGGAGGGGTGCAGAGGGGCCCAGCCACAACGGCGGGCACATCTCAGGTCTGTGCCTGACGCTGCCTTTCTCCCTGCAGAGTACGCGGACAACATCGGCGACGGCCGGAGCCCGGAGTTCCGGGAGAACGAGCAAAAGCGCATCCTGGGCTTGCTGGAGAATTTCTAGAGACCCCGAGGCCTCGGGCGGCACGGACTCTCTCTGGGCCTCCCCCCGGAAAGTTTTTACACAGCTCCATGTGACTTTTGGACGAATTAAAGCTAGTTTTGGTACCCCCGGCTGGCGTTCTTTGTAGCAGAGCGGCTCCTTGCGCCCCTCCCAGCATCCGGCACTTTCCCAGCTGCTGTCACGGGTCATATCCGAGGAAGGTCGGTGGTCCGCCTCCCTCTGCCAGTGGGGAAACTGAGGCTCGGAGAACAGATCAGGGACAAAGCGGATCAGCATAAAGTGGCCGCCCGTCTATAGCCGGGAAGGGGGGGGGGCGCGTGGACCGTGACCGCTCGGGCTGCCGGCCCTGCAGAGTCCATGGTAGCGGCAGGCCAGGGGCACAGGGGGCCAGCCTCGGGGAGCACAGCCCCTGCAGCAGCGTCACTGGGGGAGGGCACCTGAGCCAACGTCCCCTGGGCCACCGCAGGATGCCGGAACCACAGGCAGGCGTGGCCTGAGTTCCCATGTGGCTCGGCACCGCTGCTGGGAGCCAACGGCCGCCCAGACACGGCTGTGCCTTCCTCAGCGCATGGTAGGGACAGTTGTACCCAGCTGGTGCCCGCGAGGACGAACCGGGTCACCCGAGCCGCACACGGCGGGCGGTTTCCTTCTTTTTTCCCTCAAAGGCTGGGGCTTCAGAACTGCAACGTCACCCCCTCCATGGGCTATGAGGAAATGGGCCGCCTCTGCGGAAGTCGGCGGTCCATTCACACGCGTTAGTCTGTCCCGAGGGTCGAGTCCTGAGCGAGGAGGAGGTGGGAGAGCAAGCAATTCAGAAAAGCAGTATTTCATCAAAATGAAGGGTCAGCCCGGGGTCAGCACACAGGCTCTGGAGGGACGGCACACACCCTGCGTGTGCCCCTGGCCACCGCCAGGCAGCACAGTCCGGCTTCTCGCCAAACCCCAAGTACCGGGCTCCAGGCCGCCGCCACCATCCGGCCAGAGCGGCCATGAGGGGGAAACGCAGTGCCACTCTAGGCGGCCACCCGGCGGGACTCGCGTGAGACCGCGCCTGCGTCGTGCCCGGCGTGGGGCAGGCGGCAGAGCATCAGGTAAGATGCCTCCCGCCCGCCGGGTGCTGCCGTCCAGCCTGGCGAGAAGACACACAGCGCGCCCGTCCTTCCCGCGAGGTCGGCCTTCCGCCGGAGAGGTGGCGGGCGGGTGCGACAGGGCCCGGAATGAGAATTGCCTTACAGGCCCAGGTTTTCTGCATTTCATTTTTCTGTAACTATAGCAGCCTCCACGTGCTGTGTGCTCCTTGCTGCACGTCCCTTCTTTTACCGTGCGCTCCGTCGTCATCCCCAAGTTACTGAAGCTGAGACGGAGGGTCAGGAGCGCGGCCACTAAGCAGCTCGTGCATTCAGAGTGAGGGCGGCCTGACTCCGCAGCCAGTGCTCTCCCCTCCACCAAGCTGCTCTGCCTGGAGACCGTCACGGATCCCTGATGGACGTTATGCCTCACTCCTCTTCAGATGTGGGGCGACACGTTCACAGAGAATAAAGCACGTCCAGGTGTAAACTACAGAGTCGCAGGCTTTCTGAGCAAAGGATGATACTTCCGAGAGCGTTAGTCCTTCACAGTCATTTGGTCTTTCAAACTGTGTTTGTTTTTAGCCAGGGATTGCTTGTACACTGTACAGAAGTTCATAATTTAACAAAAAACTTTGCAACAAAGAGTCTCCTCTCCCATGCCGTGACCCCTGGGCCTCCCCTTTCCCTCGAGGCAGCCGCTGTTACCCGGTCATCCGTCCAGAGAAGCCCTGTCCAGCGGTTTCTGGCCACCTTCTCCTGAAGCTCCAGGTTTCCCACGAGCCCCTCGGCAGCCAGCATAGAAGGCAGTGGGGCGGGGGACCTGGGTGGCTCAGTTAGGCGTCGGACTTCAGATCATGATCTCATGATGGTTCGTGAGTTCGAGCCCCACGCTGGGCTCTGGGCTGACAGCTCAGAGCTTGGAGCCTGCTTCAGATTCTGTGTCTCCCTCTCTCCGCCCCCTCCCCCTCTTACGTTCTGTCTCTCTCTCTCAAAAATGAACATTAAAAAAAAAAATTTTTTTTTATAAAGAAGGGAAGGTGGGTAGGACTCCGGGCCACTCACACTGCTTCACCTACAGTTCTCTCCCACCTTGCTTCCGGCATGGGGGTGCCTCCTGAGGTGGTTAGACAAGTCCCTCTGCTAACAGCAAGTTTGAACTCCTACCTGTACCTTACTAGGAGGGTCCCCTTTTCCATCAGTTTTGTGACAGGCGGGCTTGTGGGGAGCAAGGGGTATAATCCGTTATAATTCAGAAGGGGTTACCTTTCGGAGGTGGGGCCACAGGCACGGGATGAGGAGAATTCTTGACCCTCTGCTTTATTTTAACAACCCACTACCCAAGGCTAAGAAAAGCTTTGAAGACCAAGGTGAAGGTCCTCATTACTGACCTGACTAACCCATTGGCTCCCGGGTGTGGTCCTACCTCTTGCAACTGCCCGTGGCTGAGACCCTGTCTGCCTCACCAAGCAGTGCCCACCTCCCCCCAGAAGGACTTCTTGGACTTCCAGCAAAGACTACCCGGTTCTGAACTGGATTTCTGTGCCCGCCCGCCGTTGGGGCTTCCTGGCTCTTCCCTTCAAACCAAGCCCCCCGTGGCCATCGTTGTGCCTGTAGCTGAGTGGTACGAGCATCCCAGCGGGACAAAATGCCTTTTCCTCTCCAAACATGGCAGTAAAGTAGCCCTCAAGCAATATTAGCCAGAATTTCTTCACGACGGAAGTGGGGATTTCACATACCTCTTCCTTCACAGCTTGCTGCTCTGTCAGTGGTTGGCACGCCTGAATTCAATGGCAGCAAGATGGGGCACGTCTAATTTAAAGAGATTTGCATGCAGGCTACATTCCTCCTTTATCTGCGAGGGGGAAGTGCTTTGTCAGGGGAACTGGGAGCCACCCTTCGGTCACCCCCAGAGCAGCATGTGCCCAGGTGGCATCTTCTGTCATTACCAAGAGCATCAATGTAGCATCAACAGGGAGACGAGACTGACTTTCCTAAAGGCAAAAGCTTCTTGATTAGATTTCCTTACCCAACAGTAGAGTAAGAGCAGAGCCACATTTTTCAATCCGCCCTCCTCCTTGGAACTCACAGAAAGTGGTTGGTCGGGGCGGTGGACCCCCCCGTTGTCTGTGCTAAGGAAAAGGCTAGCGATCTCCAGACACCTCTTGCTTGATTAGGTGACACGTACCCTTGGTATCAACTTCGGAAGATCCCTAACGGTATCCAGTGCGAGAATCTCCTGCCCCCCAGCGCCCCTCCCGAGAGGCAACCACGGCTAAATAGCTAGAATATCCTTTCAGGGAGCTTTTCAAGTGAATGAATATACGTCATCTAATACAGGTGTTAGCATACCCTGTTCTCTGCCCTGCACCTTGCTTTTCGCTCTGCACCCATCAAACGCACACAGGGCCCCCATCCCCACCTTCCCTCCCCTCCCTGCTGGTGGCCCTGCCGAATTTAACCACGTGCGTGGACATTTAGGTGACTCTGATCTTTGGCTAAGACAATGCCAGAGTGAACATCCTTGTAAAGGACGTCGTTCCACACATGTGTGCCTTTAAATCCCCAAGCAGAATCACCAAGTCAGAATGTGCATTTTCCACCGTGATATGAATCGCCACGCTGCCTGCCCTCTGTGGACGGCGTGTGCGCGCCACCCCGCCCCCCGCCCCATCCCCGCCCTCCTTCCGTGGATGGTGTGTGTGTGTGTGTGTGTGTGTGTGTGTGTGTGTGTGCGCCACCCCGCACCCTCCCCCACGCAGCGACCGCTCTCCTGTCTCTGCGTCTCCGACGGCAACAGAGTTTGTTGTCTTCATCTGCATTTCTTTTATGAGCGGAGTCATTTAGTGCTTGAGAAGAATGGATTTATTGCGTGTGCGCCGTATCTGCTAATACTCATCACAGTCTTTCTATGAGCTCAGTACTTCGCTGGAATTAGCTCATCTAACCCTCAATTCCTAAGGGGCAGGTACTTTCATCATCAGTCTCATTTCACAAACCCAGAATGACAGGGTCTGTGGCTGCTAAAGTGACCGAGCTGGGCCCGGAGCGTAAGCTGACTGGTTCCGAAGGCCACACTCCTGACCTCAGAGCCGCACCGTCTCCCAGCCAGCAGAGAAGGGGCTCCAGTGAGGCTGGAGAGGTGGCCACAGGGGATTGGGAGGCCACCCTGTCCCTGCAGGGTGCCCTGGAAGCAGAAACCTTCAGCGCGGCTCTGCAGGGACCCGAGGCTGGGCAGGGTCCCTGCCCCCGGAGCCCCTCACTCCCACACCTGAGCAGCGGCTGCGGTACTCGCCTGTGTGGGGACCCTAATGCCAGGTTTTCTGGCTGGGGATGATTCAGCCATGTGAATGTGGCCTCGGCTGCTGTACCACGGGAAGAGGGAAGTCCAAGAAACTTCTGGAAGGTTCGGCTTTCTCTCTGCAGTAATGAGAGGAGGAGCTGCCTTCAAGCACCTTGTAGTGAGGGTCCTTGCTTACCTTCCCCCCCATCCACCGAGCTTGAACCCCTCACTGTCCACCCCCAGCCCGTGTTAGGCATCGCCGCCCCCTTCCAGTCACCTCCCAGGGCACGTCTGCTGCACACCTGCTCTGTGCCCGGCCCCAGGTGGGGCGTGGGGGCACACACCCTGCTGAAAGGCAGTGTTAACTCCCCATGGTGGCCCGACAGGGCATCACAAGGAAGCAATAATGAGCTTCCTCAAAAGAGGTGAGGGACCGTGAGGGCCCCCAAACCTGGCAGGAGGGATCAGGAAGACAGGCTGACGCACCATATCTGTACCTTGAGTGACAGTCACAGGGGTCTTAAGATGGCCATGAGTCTCAAAACACAAGAGGTAGCAAGTCATTCGGGGCAGAGGCAAGTGCACAGGCAAAGGGGTGGGGGCCGGGTGAAGCACGGAACCTAGGGGACTCCCAGACGACCCTGGGGTCAGCAGCACACAGGTTTCGTGAGCTCCGGCTGTGGCAGAACCCACAGAGCCACGTGCATGTGGCTCCCCTGTGCTCTCGGGGAGCCTGGGTTCATGTCCAGTCACA